GAAAACCCTATGGATCACCACAGTCCAATTCCATTGCACATGGGGTCACCATGAGTTTGGAGCTGACTTAACAGCAGCTAACAACAGCAATTAGTTTATAACAACAGCTAGACTAGGCACCAGGCACCACAACCTAGCCAAGTTGACATATAAAAGTAACCATCACACCAGCCCAGGGAGAGGTAATCGCTTTCTCCTTTGTGCTTCCACTGGCCTTCTAGAAACTTTTCACTCCACGAGTCAAACTTCTGAACATCTATTCACTGATGTGTGTCTTCCACCAGACTCGGGACTTGTGAGGGCAGGTATCGTTTCTCATTCATCTCTGCACTCCCAGTTCACTGGTCAGGCCAAGGGTAGAGGGTGGAGACAGAAGAGGAGCCTGAGTCCCAAATCCAGCTTCCTCAACATGGTCCCTCTGCAGACAGCAGAAACCTTGAGGACAAAAACTGTATTGAATTCATTTTGCCGGACCCTAAAGTGCTAACAGGACTGAGATTTGTGGTGCTTAGTACAAACTTGTTAGCACAACAGTGTGATTGCCTGGAAGAGTAGAAAGTGGCTGTCTTAGTCATCTAGTGCTGCTATAACAGAACTACCACAAGTGGATGGCTTTAACTAAGAGAAATTTATTCTCTCATAATCTGGTAAGCTAGCTGTCCGAATTCTGGGCGTCAGCTCCAGGGGAAGGCTTTCTGTCTCTGTTAACTCTGGAGGAAGGTCCTTGTCATCAATCTTCCCCTGCTTGAAGAGCTTCTCAGCACAGGGAACACCCCCACCCCCGGGTCAAAAGGACACGCTATTCTCCTGACTCTTGTTTCTTGGTGGTATGAAGTCCCCCTGTCTCTCTGCTTGCTTCTGTCTTTTATATCTTAAAAGAGATTGGCTCAAGACACAATTCAATCTTGTAGATTGAGTCCTGCCTCATTAACATAACTGCCGCTAATCCCATCTCATCCACATCACAGAGATAGGATTTACAACACATAGGAAAATCACATCAGATGACAAAATGGTGGACAACCACACAATACTGGGGATCATGGCCTAGCCAAACTGATACATGTCATGGATTGAATTGTGTCCCCAAAAATATGTCAACTTGGTTAGGTCATGATTCCCAGTATTGTGTGATTGTCCTCAGTTTTGTGATTGATGTAATTTTCTTATGTGTTGTAAATCCTAATCTCTGCCTGTGGTTAATGAGGCAAGTTTAGATTATGTTAAAAAGGATTAGGGTGGGATTTAACACCCTTACTCAGGTGACATCCCTGATCCGATGTAAAGGGAGTTTCCCTGGGGTGTGGCCTGCATCATCTTTTATCTTACAAGAGATAAAAGGAAAGGGAATCAAGCAGAGAGATAGGGACTTATACCACCAAGAAAGCAATGCCAGGAGCAGAGTGTGTCCTTTGGAATCCAGGTTTCCTGTGCAGAGAAGCTCCTAGTCCAGGGGAAGATTTATGACAAGGCCCTTCCTCCAAAGCCGACAGAGAACACCTTCCCTGGAGGTGATGCCCTGAATTTGGACTTCTAGCCTACTAGACTGTGAGAGAATAAACTTCTGTTTGTTGAAGCTATACACTTGTGGTATTTCTGTTATAGCAGCACTATGTAACCAAGACAATATACGTATTTTGGGGGGACAAAATTCAATCCATGACAGTGGCCTTGGTCAAAAATGCCTGGGTTTAAATCCCAGCTTCCTATTGGTGTCATCTTGGGCCTCCCCAAGGCTCAGTTTCCTCTTCTTCATAAAGGGGATGATAATAGCTCTGAGGGCTGGTATAAGGATGGAATGAGGTTGTGTGTGTGAAGCATTTGGCACATAACCATATCCATTTGGCATGTTGTCATTTCTAGGTCAGAACTGTGCTGGAGTCTGCTTTAGCTACCGTACTCTGGGTGGCTCCTTCTTTCAGTCGCCACATGGTGATGGGCACATAGTGGCTCTTAATCAAGATGAAGTCTGTTTTTTTCCAGCATCTAGAACACTGCCTTGCAAAAATTAGGTACCCAAGAAAGAAAATGAGCTGAACTCAGCACCTTCCGTAGCATAGGTACTCAACAAATATTAAATCAAGTCAAATTCACCTCCCTGATCCAATCTTACCTTGAAGAAGTCACTCCCTTTTGTGGTGTCAAAAAATAAACAACTCAGAATGCCATTAACAGATTGCTATGCAGGTTAATAACAGTTTTAGAGTTTGGCAGCATGTCATTACTGAGTAAAATCAGTGCTCCAATTAAATAAGATTTTCAGGGTGTCACGGACTGAATTGTATCTGCCAAAAATATCTGTCAACTTGGCTAGGTCATGATTCCCAGTATTGTATGATTGTCTACCATTTTGTAATCTGAGGAGATTTCCCTATGTGTTGTAATCCTATCACTATGATGTAATAAAATGGATTAGCAGCAGTTAATATTGATGAAATCTACAAGATTAGTGTCTTAAGCCAATCTCCTTTGAGATATAAAAGAGAGAGGCAAGCAGAGAGACGTGGGGACCTCATACCACCAAGAAAGCAGCTCTGGGAGCAGAGCGCGTCCTTTGGACCTGAGGTTCCTGAGCTCGGATGCTCCCAGACCAAGGGAAGACTGATGACAAGGACCTTCCTCCAGAGCTGACAGAGAAGAGAAAGCCTTCCTCTGGAGCTGACACCTTGAATTTGGACTTGTAGCCTACTGGACTGGGAGAGAATAAATTTCTCTTTGTTAAAGCTCTCCACTTGTGGTATTTCTGCTACAGCAGCACTAGGTGACTGGTACCACAGTGGTTAAGCACTCAGCTACTAACTGAAACGTCAGCAGTTCAAACCCATCAGCCACTTTGTGGGGGAAAAGATGTGGCAGTCTGCTTCCATAAAACCTAGGGGAGCAGTTCTACCCTACTCAACCCGATCCTGTAGGGTTGCTATGAGTCAAAATTGACTTGACAGCAATGGGTTTGATATATATATACACATATATATAATTGCATCAGGAACTTTGAACAAAAAACTTTTGATTGGATGACAATTATGTCAGGATACATAAATCTTATAAGACAGCAGCATGTGCTCAAACATGATAAAGAATAGGAAATAGAAACCTTGCTAAGATAATCACAGGATCAGCCAGCCATGGTAATAAGACTTCTGGAGTCTTATAAACAGGACATGTTCATTAATCTTCTATTGTTTTCTCAAAGAATAAGTTTCAAGTGTTTTAGTGAGCCTGATCACCTAAATACAACTGTGTGAAACAAGACAAACTGCTTCTAAAGTCTAGTTACAGTTTAAGGCATAACTGTAAGCTTTAAAAAGTATATACATATATGATTATACAGCACATAGGTTTTTAACATTTAATAAGATGACCTTTAGTGTCACGAGCAAGAGAACCTTCTGTTTTCATAAATCAAAACTTATTTTATTTCACAGTGGGAGGAGGGGGAGTGGGGGAAGAAGTGGGGAGATTTTGCTCCCTTCTCCTGGCAGTGATCTGCTTTTGATTTTTCCAAAACATGATGATCACTTTGGTAGACATACTTCAGTGGTCCCCAGTGAAGCACTCCTCCTGTATTAATACCCTCATGCAGTCCCCTTCCACAACAAGTCTGGGCTGAACCATGTGGCTAGGTTTGGCCAGAGGGACATTCGCAAATAAGATGCAAGAGAAGACTTGGTAAGAACTTACACTCATTGATTCTTTCTTGTCCCCTTGGAAGGTTCCTTCCTGGAACCCAGTCTCCATGCCATGAAGAAGCCCAAGTTAGCCACAAAGAGAGGTCACACAAAAATAAAGTGATGCCAACCCCCAGCTGTGGCACTCAATCCAAGTGAGGCATCACGTATGTGGGAGAAAGAGCCATCTTCGGATGCTACATGAGCCGTACCTGCTGAGCCCTGCCCAAGTTGCACAATAGAGAGCAAAGAAATGATCATTGTTCTAAAGCCACTAGGTTTTGGTAAAAGTTGGAATACAGCAATAAATAACCAAAACAATCACCCATGAGTAGAGTATATTCTGAGAGTGGAAGTCAGTGACCTGGGGGTGGGGTATGCTGCTGGCGTGGAGACTCAACAGGTAAAAAACTTCAGCATCAACTGGAAGACATGACTATCTGATCTGGAACCTCTCCTCGGGGGGACTCTGTTCCCTGGGGCCCCAACTCTCAGGTCCCGCCTTTGTTGTTACCAAGGATCCTTATCGGTTAGGATGTTTGGCTGCTTAAACAGTTAGGCTCATATTCCAGAAAGGCTAGAGGCTTCAGCTGGGCTGATGGAGCAGCTGTGCATGGTGATGGAGGACCCAAATTGTGCTGCTATCCACAGAGTCATTTACTTCTAAGGGCAGTTCCTGTGGTCACAGGATATCTGCCAGGAGCAGTCCAGGCTCCATGGTTCCTCATTCACATACAGAAGAGAGAGATGCCGCCATTGCTCTTGCTACGGCTGCAACACCATCTCTTGCTATCTTCTGTGTTACAGCTCCTCCCTCCCTCTGTCTCCTCGTGTCTCCCTTTAAGCCTAGTGGGATGGCAAAACTGACCAATCCCCTCATTAGGGTTTTATGCACCTTATTTGCATTAGCACAAAGCTGTCCGATCCCCTTGGTGGGCCACAAGCACCTTATTTGCATAGTCCCACCTAATCTTTGTGTGGGAGTCACAAAGACTATGGCTAGAAGGGCCATGTTAAGTAATTCACTGCAGCTCAAGTGTCCGCAACGGGGCCCCTCTACGTTGGGCATGAGGGAGAAGCCAGACAAACTAGCTTAAGACAGAGTCCCACTCAGCTCTCACACCTTTCCGGAGATTAGGAGAGAAGGTGTGAGTGTGTGTGTGGGGGTGTTCTGGAGGAGAACCCCCAGTTGGTTTGCCAAGCACCACACATTGTCCCCCACCCCAGCGTGTACAGACAGATGGCCCCAAGCAGAGGAGAAGGGTTCAGATTTGTGCCTTTCTTTATTGCTAGCACTTCCTCTGAGCGGAGGGCACCACTTTTGTGTTGTATTTAGTACTTTGAGCCCCTGGCTTTGCTCTTTTCTCCAAATTTCTCATCCAGTGCTTTCTGCAAGTTCATGTTCATAGCATTTTTCTGGTGCCACCGTCCTGCAAAGAATAAGGAAGGAGCTGTCACAGATCATCCAGAGGACCTCTGGGGTGCCCAGGCCCCAGCAGTGATCCACACCTCTTCCAGGTCCTCCCCAAGGCTCTATCTCCTGCCCCGGATTCTTTCTTGGACCTTGAAGCCTACACACCCTGCCCAAGGAGGGGAGTTCCTACCTCCCATTACCCCCATCTCCCCACCTACCCAGATCATCCGTCTTCCTGCCATGCCAGTGTTCTGTGTCCCGCACTGATTTCTCAATCACCTCTGGGGTGTAGGAGGCCTTCATGAGGCTCTTCGTCTCCTCAGGGGCCCCTGCAGAACCCCACAAATAAATCTCCAGATGACCCATCTCAACGGAGTTTATACTTGGGTGTTAGTTTCCCTATGGATGGTGGATTGTGGAAAGGGAGGGGGTTTGGGGAGAGTTTCAGAGTAAGGCAGGCCTAGATGCAAACCTCAGCTCTGTCATTTATGGGCAGTGTTCTTAGACAAGTTGTTAACCTCTCTGAACTCCAGTTTCTTTATACAAAGGTATTAAATTTTCTTACAAGGTTGGGAAGATTAAATTATTGGACATTCGTTGTAGCATCTGGTATGTCATAATTATTAATATATGTCTGTTCTCTATATGCAAAAGTAAAACACACAGGAGGAAATAAGTTACCATTCCAAGATCTAGCAGAAACACCAGAATTTGAATGATCATATACAGAATATAAAATAAGTATAGTCAATGTTTGAAATTATGAAAAAGAGGATAAAATGTGAGCAAAGAATAAGGAAGGATCTAGAAAGAGAAGACAGGTTGGTAAAAGAAGTAAATGGAACTTTTAGAGAAGAAGCATATTGTTATTTGATGTGAGGTGCTGTCGAGTCAGTTCTGACTCTTAGCAACTTGATGTACAACAGAACGAAACACTGCCCTGTCCTGCATCACTCTCACAGTTGTTACCATGTTTGAGCCCATTGTTGTAACCACTGTGTAAATCCATCTCGCTGAGAGTCTTCCTCTGTTTTGCTGATACTCCCTACTTTACCAAGCGTGATGTCCTTCTTGATAACATGTCCAAAGTACATGAAACAAAGTCTTGTCATCCTCACTTCCAAAGAGCACTCTGGCTGTACTTCTTCCAAGACAGATTTGTTGGTTCTTCTGGCAGTCCATGGTATATTCACTATTCTTCACCAAAGGATCATAATTCAAATGGATCAGTTCTTCTTCGGTCTTCCTTATTCATTGTCCAGCTTTTTCATGCAAATGAGACTATTGAAAACACCTTAGCTTGGGTCAGGCACACCTTAATCCTTAAAATGATGTCTTTGCTTTTCAGTACTTTAAAGTGATCTTTTGCAGCAGATTTGCCCAATGCAATATGTTGTTTGAGTTCTTGATTGCTGCTTCCATGGGCATTGATTATGGATACAAGTAAAATAGAACCCTTGATAACTTAAGTGTTTTATCGATTTATCATGATATTACTTATTGGTCTAGTTGTGAGAATTTTGTTTTCTTTATGTTGAGGTGTACAGCCCTTAATCTATATCAGTAAGTGTTTCAAGTTCTCTTTATTTTCAGCAAGCAAGGTTGTGTTATCTGCATATTACAAGTTGTTAATGAATCTTCCTCCAATCCTGATGCCCTGTTCTTCTTCATATAGTCCAGTTTCTCGGATTATTTGCTCAGCATACAGATTGAATAAGTGTGATGAAAAGATATGACCCTGATGCACACCTTTCCTGGTTTTAAACCACGCAGTATCCCCTTGTTCTGTTTGAAAGACTGCCTCTTGGTCTAGGTACAGTTCCCCCATGAGCACAATTAAGTGTTATAGAATTCCCATTCTCTGCAATGTTATCCATAATTTGTTATGATCCACATAGTTTAATGCCTTTGCACAGTCAATAAAACACAGGTAAACATCTTTCTGGTATTCTCTGCTTTCAGCCAAGATCCGTCTGACATTAGTAATGATATCCCTTGTTCCACATCCTCTTCTGAATCCAGCTTGAATTTCTGGCAGTTCCCTGTCAATGTACTGCAGCAATTGTTTTTGAATTATCTTCAGCAAAATTTTACTTGCATGTGATATTAATGATATCGTTCAATAATTTCCGCATTCTGTTGGCTCACCATTCTTTGGAATGGGAACAAATATGAATATCTTCCAGTCAGTTGGCCAGGTAGCTGTCTTCCAAATTTCTTGACATAGACTAGTGAACACCTCCAGCACTGCATCCGTTTGTTGAAACATCTCAGTTGGTATTCTGTCAACTCCTGGAGCCTTGTTTTCCACCATCCCCTTCAGTGCAGCTTGGACTTCTTTCAATACCAACGGTTCTTGATCATATGCTACCTCCTGAAATGTTTGAACGTTGACCAATTCTTTTTGGTACAGTGACTCTTTGTATTCTTTCCATCTTCTTTTGATGTGTTGTTCAATATTTTGCCCATAAAATCATTCAATATTGCAACTAGAGGCTTGAATTTTCTTTTCAGTACTTTCAGCTTGAGAAATGCTCAGTGTGTTCTTCTCTTTTGGTTTTCTAACTCCAGGTCTTTGCACGTGTCATTATAATATGTGACTATGTCTTCTCGAGCTGCCCTTTGAACTCTTCTGTTCAGTTCTTTTACTTCATCATTTCTTCCTTTGCTTTAGTGACTCTCAGTTCAAGAACAACTTTCAGAGTATCTTCTGACATCCATTTTGGTCTTTTCTTTCTTTCCTGTCTTTTTAATGACCTTTTCCTTTCTTCATGTATGATGTCCTTGATGTCATCCCACAACTCATCTGGTCTTCGGTCATCAGTGTTCAATGCATCAAATCTATTCTTGAGATGGTTTCTAAATTCAGGTGATATATACTCAAGGTCATATTTTGGCTCTTGTGGACTTGTTTTAACTTCCTTTAGCTTCGACTTTAACTTGCATATGAGCAATTAATGGTCTGTTCGGAAGTCAGCCCCTGGTCTTGTTCTGACTGATGATATTGAGCTTCTCCATTGTCTCTTTCCACAGATGTAGTCGATTTGATTCCCGTGTATTCCATCAGGTGAGGTCCACGTGTATAGTCGCCGCTTATGTTGTTGAAAAAAGGTATTTGAAATGAAGAAGTCATTGGTCTTGCAAAATTTCATCATGCGATCTCTGAAGTCGTTTCTGTCACCAAGCCCGTATTTTCTAACTACTGATCCTTCTTCTTTGTTCTCAACTTGTGCATTCCAATCACCAGTAATTATCAATGTATCTTGATTGCATGTTTGATTAATTTCAGACTGCAGAAGTTGGTAGAAATCTTGAATGAAGCATATAATAATTAAAATTAAGCTCAACGGATGATGAGATGTCTAGGATTTGCTTCAACATAATCTGGAGTGAGGATGGATGGCTGGGTGGGAGATAGATGAAACAAGACTGGCTATGTACTGATAATTGTTGAAGCTGGGTAATGTGTACAACATCTATTCATTAAACTATTGGCTCTGCCTTTCTATAAATTTGAAAATTACCATCATAAAAGCTCAAAAACCAATTCAGTGAACAGGTAAAATAGCAGGTTTGATACAGCTGACAGAAAACAGTAAATTGGAAGATAGATCTAAAGCTATTAGAATGCAGCACAGAAAAAAAAGATGTGGAAAATATGAAAGAGATGTTAAGATGCAGGTTAAATGAGAAAACTTAACAGATATGTAAGGAGTCCCTGGGTGGCACAAACAGTTAAGCACTCAGTTACTAACTGAAAGATTGGCAGTTTGGGTTCATCCAGAGGTACCTAGGAAGAAAGGTCTGGTAATCTACTTCTGAAAGGTCACAACCATTGAAAAATCCTATGGAGCGAAGTTCTACTCTGACACAGGGTAGCCATGGGTCAGAATCGACTCGACAGCAACCAGCATATATGCCTAATCGGAGTTCCTAAAGGACAGACTGAAGAAAATGGGGGAGAGGCAATATTGGAAATGATAATGGCTGAAATTTTCCAAAATTGATGCAAATGTGAATCCTTAGATTCAAGAATCGTAGTTAAGTCCAATTCGAATGAGTAAAAAGGAGTCCTTACTTAGGCACATCCAAGTAAAACGTAGATTGGAAATCTTAAAAGTAGCCATAGAGAAAAGACAGATTCCTTACAAAGAATAACAATTAGTTTGAATTTAACTGTGGAAGCTAGAAGAAAGTAGATTAATATCATCAAAGTACTGATAGAAAAACAATAGACTGCCTAGAACTGTTTACAATACAATCCTCTTCCAAGAGCAAGGACAAAATAAAGGATTTCCTGACAAATAGAGCCTAAAGTTTACCAACAATAGAACCTCACTTATAAAAAAAAGCAAAACAAGAAAAAAACTTCTAGACAACATACTTCAGAAAGAAAAACATGATCCCAGGAGGAAGGTCTGAGACACAAGAAGGAGGAGTATGTAAAAAAAAAAAAAAAGAAAGAAAGAAACCATGAGTAAATGTAAACATACATTAATAATAATAACAATATCCATATCTAATTTATGGGGAAAAATAATGATGATGACAGCTAACCATTTTTTAAGATTTACCATGTGCTAAGCACAGTTATAGGGTTGCTATGAGTCAGAACTGACTCATCAGGAAATGAGGTTTTTTTTGTTTGCGTTTGTTAAAGCACAGTTCTAAAAGCTTTACATAGATTTACTCATTAAATCTTCTCAACAACCCTAAGACGTAGGTACTATTATTATCTCCACTTTACTGTTGAAGACACTAAAGCGCAGAGAGGTTAAGTGAAAGATCTAGTACTCAAACCCAGGCCATGTTGCTCCAGAGTTCAACTACTTTGCATACGTAGAATTAAAATTCTGTAAATAATAACGTGTAAACTGCGGCGGGGGAGAGGTCATTAAAGTTGAAGCCTCCTAAGGTCTTTATATTATTCAAGAAAGCCTAAAAACCTTGAATAACTTTAGAGTTTGTTGCCTTGTTCTTGTTAAGTGCCATCGAGTCAACCTTGACTCGTATTGACCCTCTAGGACAGGGTAGAACTGCCCCATAGGGTTTCCAAGAAGCAGCTGGTGGATTTGAACTACTGACCTTTTGGCTAGCAGCCGAGCTCTTAACCACTGTGCCACCAGGGCGCTAGAGTTTGTTACCTAGGCATGTTAAAATGCAAAGGTAGCCACTAAAAGAATAGGAAGAATAGAGAAGGACAAAAACTGTATTGAGAAAAAAGAAAGCTCACTCAGAAAAAAGACAGGAGAAGAAGCATAGAAAAAGCAGTGCAAATACAAAACAAAACAAGATAAAAAAAGATCCAAATATATCAGTAATTAAAATA